AGCCTTGCTGTGGTATCCAGCATCCCTCTCAGCATTTGTGGGTGCATCCCATCCAGGCCCTTGGATTTGTGGATGGTCAGGTTTACCGAGGTGTTCTCTAACCCAATTCTCCTTGACCAAGGGAAAGTTTGCCTTCCAACAGTCTTTTTTCCTGGTTTCTTGGGTCAGTGATTCCAGAGGTCTCATCTTACCAGTGAAGACCAGTGCAAAGATGGCATTCAGTAATTCTGCCTTCTCTGTATCCTTTGTTATGAGAACCCCTCTCCACATAGTAATGGGCCCACATTATCCTTAGTTTTCCTTTTGTTACTGATGAATTTGAAAAAGCCTTTCTCGTTGTCCTTGACATCTTTCGTGAGATTTAATTCCAGGAGTAACCTGGCCTTCATTTCATTTGAACTTACTCTGACAACCTCTCTACATTAATTCCAAGTGGTCTGACTGCTTCCATCTCCTCTGCATTTCCTGCTTACACAAGTAATGACAGGAGTTCCTTTTTATCCATGCAGGTCTCTTGACCCCTTTGCTCAATTCCTTGTTCACTGGGATGGTTTGTTCTTGAGTCTGGAGAAAGCGATCCTTCAATACTAACCAACTCTCTTGGAACTTTCCTCCCTGAAAGGCCTTTTCCTATGGGAAAGAAGATCCCCTGAAGAGGCTAAAGGTAGTTCTTTATCCCTGAAGAGGCTGAAGGTTACAATTTACTTGCTGCCCTGCTTCTCCTTGTTCTATACTGAACTTCACAATCTCATCGTTGCTGCTGCCAAAGCTGCCCCCAACCTTCACATCTCCAACAAGGATCTCCCTGTTTTTTAGTGTAAGGTTGAGGAGCACACCATTCCTTGTGGGAGCCTCCACTACCCGTGCCAGGGAGATACCATCAGTGCTTTCCAGGTTCCTCCCATCCTGTTCGTGCTTCATGGTGCTGCTTCTCCAGCCATGTCAGGGTGGTTGAAGCCCCCCAGAGAACCAGAGCCTGTGGGGCTGCTCCGAGCTGCCTGTACAAGGCCGGGCCCACTCCCTCCCCTCAGCAGGGGCCTGTAGCAAACACCTTCAACAGCGTCACTCTTGCCACTCTGCCCTTTTACCCTAACTCAGAGGCTCTCAATTTGCTCATCACCCACCCCAAGACAGAGCCTGATGCATTCCAAGTGTTGCCTCACACAGAGGGCAACTCCACCACTGTGATTCTGATGCACCCATACACTTACATACACCCTTTATCCTTGAAATCTGAACACTCCAAACGTTACACCAAGTCAAGAAGACTTGCTTAGAACACTAGAATTTGCCAAGTTTGAAAATCTGAAATGCATCTTGATGGAACGATTGCATGTTTAGTATACAAATTTAAATTATATAAATATTTATAAATAGTTATATAGACAATTATTTTCATTAGTGTAATATTGTATTAAAAAAATTGTAAAATATTACTTCCCTAATTAGCTCCAAATCCAGAAGGATATTTAGAAATACTTAAAAGCAGCTTGTCTACCGTGAAAAAATTTAATACCAAAAAGAAAGCAGCTGATTTTACATTATTTTGTCTATATACACCTTGAATTTCAAAACTATGCTTTTCTCTCATTACTCTCTCATCAAGTCCAAGATTGCAGGAAGTGAAATGGGCTGAACTATCATTAAATTACAGTGAGCCAGATAAAAAATTTCTCATCAAAGGTGAAGCTTTCTCAATGCTTAAATGTATCTCTTAAATGAATGGCAAATGACAAAATATGAAACAGGAACAGACCTAGATGATGGTAGTAAAACGGATTTTATACTAAGAGTCTTTTATGCTTGGGTAGAATCTCTATTGCTGAAAGTCCCACTCATCACAGTAGCTTTAGTGATCACTGATGTCTTTGCCAGTCCTCAGTGCAGCATTCAGAACTACACTGGACCAGCAGAGCTAAATATGCACAGCTGAAAATCCTGTCCTCATTGTTCCTCAGGATTAACCTGTCAGTAAAAGGGAGGCTGGAAGCAAATGCATTCCACAAATGCTGACCCATGTAAGAGGCTGAAGAAAGAGTATTACCACAAGTAGAAACAGAATTTTTCAACAATTTTCCATTCAAATATCCCACCTAAGAGGAAAAGTCATTCTACATGCAGTTTTTTTCTCCTCCCATGCATTTGAGGTGAATACAAAAAGAAGGCCAAAGCTATTTCTATTTTTGTTTAAAATGAACTAATTTGATGAATGGCCATGTGTAAAATAAAGATTAACTAGGAGTACCTGAGAATGAAAAAGTACAGAGAAAGGAGAATAAATCAGTAAGACAATGTGATCATTTATGACTGCTATAGCATTGACTTTCAGGTTACAATTTTCTATTAATATTTTGAATTATACAGAACAGAGATGAAAACTATTCTCTTTAACCACTTGAAATATAAACCATTTACCTCTGGAATTTCTGTCATGTAAATGTAATTGTAAAACTTACCAAACTCAGCACTAGACAACTACCAGCTATTTCAGCCTGATTTCAAATTCTGCTCTTCAGCTCCTATGTACTAGAAATTTATACAAGATAAAAAAATGTTTATCTTCATGTTACACTCAAATTGTGTTCATATTAAATGACAGCTGTCCAGAAGCTTTTATTTTGTTCAAAATATAATGCAGAAAAAGTGAATATGGCCATGAAGACAGTTTAATTCATTTGTCTCATCAGAGTTTGACAACAGAATCCTGTGAGGACTGCAGATAACACTTTAGAAAAGGGATCTTGAGGATATCTTGTAAGGGACACAGGAAAATAGATCAGACCCTACCCTAAAATTTTAGTTTTCAGAGTCTCCAGTGAGACAACTTAGGGAAAATAAGGATAATGTTAACAATGTTTTCCAGGAAAGGGCAGCTTGGCAGAACTGCCCACTCTTATTTCGCAATAATGTGAGGTAGGAAAAATCTCTTCTGAATGGGTGTCATACCTAGAGCCACGTTAATACTGTGCAATCCTAACCTAAATTACTGTCTGAATTATACTTGAAATTCACTTACTTTTACACATTAACACTACATCTACAACCAAGAAAAACTGTCTCTTCTTGCCACAGTCCTAGAAATCACTTCTTTCTAGGCTCTACCCATTACTGTGATCACTACTGGCAATGAAAAACAACAAAGAAACTTGGACTCATTTTATATGCAGTGGCTGCATATCCCAGCCATGCCTCCTCTGCAAGGTCTATAACTTTCCAGAATTTATTTCAAAATTCAATTCAAAGCTTGCTTCCCTGCCCTGTCTTTCATCAGGAAATACTGTTTAGGGTACCCATAAAATGTAGGAGGTAAAAGGCATCAAAATCAACTCAAATCTTGATACTAAAAGGAAGAGGCAGACTTGTGTTGCTCAGGGCAGGTTTTTGTACTGCTTTACATTGGACATTGAGAATGTTGGGTGAGGGTGACTTGCTGTATTTTGGGTGTTGATCAATACATACACAGATTTGATACAGTATTTTCCCAGATGCACCTAGCTTATGTTAATTCAACCAAGAAATAACATACATAATAATGCATGTAGGATAAAACTGTGATTCTTCTTCTATGAGATGCATACACAAGGCATTTAAACACCATTGAGTCCATAACAATCATGTATAATTATATGCACAAATACTATATGCTGAAGTCTCATTATGTTTTACTATGACTCTTGCAACTAGTTTGCATACAACTTATCAGCATTACCAGCAATGTCTGGTAAAAAAAAACCCAAACAACTGTGTTTTTTCATGCTTCTCAGTGAAGCAGAAAGTATATGCAAAGCTGATGAATGAGGCTTATACTTATCTCAGCAAACCAACCACAAGTGGACATGCCTGTCACCCATCAACCTTTTAAAACATTTTAAAGAGCAAGTCATGTTCCTCAGAATTCCATGGACAGGCACTTAATGTTTTGAATTGCTAAAAGTTATTTCAAATTATTTTATGTGTGATACTAAACACTTTAAATAAATATTTACTGCAGCAGGAATGAAATATGTACATATTATAGAGGCAGACTCTGTAACATAGTCACATACACACACAAAAATACCCATTATATGCTTTTTTGCTTCTAATTCTTAGCAGAGTATCACAAACCCACTTGATGTCCCCAAGTGCCAGATTTTAAGTTTACAGGATGCAATATAGCAAGCAGACAGAAATACTCTCCCTTGGCCCACTCTGAGGAGGCTGCCATGAATTGTGCACTCTAAGAAACACCAACAAAGCTCATAAAATCAATTTTACTCAGTTAAATTAAGTACATGTATTCCAAATTCAAGAACACTGTTTATATGAGGAAATGAGGCTTATACTTATCTCAGCAAACCAACCACAAGGATGTTGATAACTTAGACACCCTTGCTGTACTGCTTATGCAAAACATCACCAGTTCATCTAGTGACATTACCAAATGGTCACACAGAAGGTTCCTCTATAGCTTGGAGGCACCACAGGCTTTGAAAATGCAGCATAACTGAATTTTGGTTAAAAAAAGCACCACATACATGCTGGCGCTGATTAAGCTCCATCTGTGCCTGAAAGAGAATTACAGTGAAATAAGTGCCCATCAAGTGTTCTCTCAGTCAGCTCAATGCCCTTGAACAGACATCCTGTCTGATACACAAATGAAGAAAACTTTGGTGTAACAGTTTACTCTTCAAATGCTTTCACTGGGAAACACTTTTTCCTTTTCTCCCTTAATTTAATGGCCCAGCAAAATTTGGTGGAAGAATGCTTTAATCTTGGTATTTATAGATGTTTTTTGGTTCTATTAAGATTATAAATGCCATCATAAAGTATGTACAGCACTGGTCAGAAATGCAGTTTTTATACTTCTGAATGTAGGTATGCACAGAAGAGCCAAGCAACTGATAATTACTTGTATTTGTTACCCAATAAAATCTCTTGCACTCCAACACAATAAAGGTGTCCTCTGCAGAATTCATTAAAGTGGGCACCCAAAAGCACAGAGATATAGAAGCACTTACATTTGCACTGTGATCACTTCCACTAACACAGACGACATCTTGTTTTTGAATTGTTAATACCTCTTTTGTAAGCTTCAGTCGGATGTCGTAAGCATTTTCAGATACTTCATCATACAACAATGCAATACCAGTTTTAGTCTGCAAAAAAGAAAGGCATACACAAAATTTTAAGAATATGAACATTTCATAATGGTGAATAACAAGCTCTATCCCATTCAATAAATAAAAAGCATACAAATGAGCATTATTTACAGAAAGTAAATAATGGTCTACTTTTCAGTCTTCAAATGGATTAGACATAAAAAGCCTCTTTTGTACAGGAAAATACAGGATAAGTGGTCTTTGAAGTAGACATTAATATGCAAAGAGTAAAAAAATTATAAAATTTTCTCCATTGTATTGTTAAACAAAGAAGTGTTGACAAGAATAATGTAATTATGTCCTGTTTGACTTTATTTATACAAAGATGTATGAAAATATATTAGAAACAAATAGGTATGTATAAATGTATGTGAACACATTTTCCATTTTTGGCAAGAAGCGGGGAAGTGAAATATTGCTCTTGCCTGGAATACGTTCATTCCACTCTGTCAGAAAAAGAACTGTTCCCTTCAAAAAAGTTGCCATTAAGATACAGAGTTCTGTTACAGTATAAAACTATGTTTTCACAATGTAAAATGTGATTAAACCCAGTTGTTGCAGAATTTATTTTGTTTAGGATAAGATGAACATACATTTCTTAAGTTACATCATCACCGGACTAATAACTAGTAAACTACATAGGATAGTCAACTATTTGGTATAAATAATGTTTTCTCCATTAGTAGTAGAAAAGAAACTTTAATTTCTGGCTTATTCCCTTAACATTCATTCAGATACTCATTCATTATTCCCTTAACATTCAGTCAGATATTTCCTCATCCAAACAAAAACTGTGGTATTAGGACTGCTTGTCCTAATTTGTCAAAATATGCAGACAAATGAAATTTCAAATCTTTACATTCATTGCTCAGAAGACAAAAACACCTGTTCTGAAATGAATGATCATATATAAAAGTACTAGTTGTTTATTAATTTGTAATGTATATTACAGCATCATCACAGCACTGCACTTTATGTAAGTGAAGAAAAATCAAGCATGATTTAAGTTTTAGCTGCAGTATTTTTTTTAAAAGAAGATTTAAAATGAAGTTGTTCATCTATGTTTTCTTAAATGGTAGATGGTATAAAAAAGAGAGTAATGGAATTAAAGAAGAAACATGTCCTGTGTACTGAATGAAAGCTTAAGGGATTTAAAAATAACATTAAACATAAAAAATTAGCTTCATAATATTTCTATTTCTGTAAAATGAGGGAGAAAGGTCTGTGGTGATTGCCAATAAAACCTTTCAATCTTTAAAAACAGAATCAGGTTAAGCTTAAGGCACTTAGGCTATACTTTGATGTAGCTCTATGCTGTAACTGAGTGTCATAACCTCCCTTACAGTAGAAATAGAAAATGCAGGCTAGACAGAAATTAGATTTATTCTGAATTATATACACAACAGTTGTTTAGGTTAATTGTTCATGTAGTTGGGCTATCCCTGAGCTCAAAGCAATTGTCCCCATGTAGGTCACTTCTGCCATTCAAGACACTGAGATATCCTAACAGCTCTGAGCATGTAAAGCTGACACAGGCTTTTTATGACAACCAGGTCCTTTTCTAGCTGGAGGCAAGACCAGATTTCCATGTTTGTAATGAGATACAAACATTGGTCACATCAGCAGACATCCACATGTAGGTATCTTCAGCCTGTAATGGATGTCATGAAAGGTTTACAGTCAGAAATCACAGAACATCTTGGGCTGGGAGGGTCTTTAAAATCATCTACTTCCTATACTTTGGAAGAACACCTTCCAATAAACCAGACTGCTCAAAGCTCAAGATCCAACCTGGCCTTGAGCACTTCCAGGAACGGGACATCCACAGCTTCTCTGAGAAACCTGTTCAAGTGCCTCACTACCCTCACTGCAAAGAATTTCTTTCTAATATATAGCTTAAACCTGTGCTCTTTCACTTTAAAGTTATTCTGCCCTGTCCCATTACTACATACCCTTGTAAAGAGTCCTTCTCCAGCTTTCTTTAACGTGCCTTTAGACACTGGCAGGCTGCTCTAACGTCTTTCTGGAGCCTTCTCTTTCCCAGACTGAAAAACCGCAATTCTCTCAGCCTGTTTTTGTAAGAGAAACCCACATCTAAGACAGCTGTTTAGAATCTGTCCAGGCAGCAGTGAGCAACAGACAGCTCTGAAGCATGATTCTATCTGATCTCTTTTATACATACATCTAGAAGGGAACAAGTGAGTCATAGCTCTCTGAACTATAAGGTAAATATAAATAACAGCTCAAATATAACTGTCTAATTGTGGGAAGATAAACCTATTCAGTGTTTGCTGGGTATGTCTAAGGGTAAGAAAGTTCAGTCATGGTATAAAGCCTTAATCATTCTCACTTGTTTGGAATCCAATATTTATTTTTCCAAGACTTTGAGTCTTTTCACATTTTCAGCATATGTGAATGTCTTATCAATACATTTTGGTGAATGACAACATATGAAAACTATGCCAGTACCATCTGCCTAAAAGCCATGCTGCCAGCAGGAAGTATTTCCAAACAGTGGAACTACAGACTTAAAACCCCACTGTCCCTGATTTTTGCTGTTGTTCAGATGTTGAGCATCACTGTCCCATGTGGACTGGTGACCCCTGTTGCTTTTGCTGTGTACCAGAAACACTACAAGAATGGAGCTCTGGATCACTCTTTATCCAGCTTACACACAGAACAACTCTCTTGCTAGAAATTGTTACATATGTTTAGAAGAATCCCAATGAAAAATACTCTGAACTTTCATTTGTAACAGATGATCAGGTAACAAATGAAATATGCAGAGTGACTTGTTAAATAGTTTAGCATTTGCCATCACACTATTTCAAATGAAGTCCCACTGAAGCTCATCTATTATTATTAAAATCCAATACCTACACTACACTTCATCTAACTGCTGATGTGATCCAAGATGACGTGCAGCAATACCTTATTTGCTTTCAGAATCAATAAGATTAATCTGGATTTCTCTCAGCCTTTCAAGTCAGCTTTTTTTTTTTTACCATTATAAATAGCTTTGAATCAAAGTTCAGCACATTCCCTTGTTCATTCTTTGTGTTAAAGCGATGGCATACATTACTCTAGTGGGCAAATCCCACTCCAGACAAAGGGTTTCTTCAAATAAGAAACTTGAAATGAGAACTTAGTCTCTGCACATATATGTATACTCTACATTTTAACTAGCTATGTTCATCTTGATTTCTCATTTAAAAACTGTCTATACAGTGGTCATTCTATGTAACTGATATAAAAAACTGAGGACTGAAAAGTCAAAATAACTCTCTAAAATTATATAGCATTGTTAGAGGTCATAGATTTTGTAATAAAAAGCATCCAGAAAGTTCATAGGGAGTTGCATCTCAACAGGATTTTAATGTTTATGTTGAGAAGGAGGGGAATACGAATTTAAATTCACTTGGGCAGAAAAAGAAATCAAATAGTGATTTTCATATCTCTTAGTTTTGTAGACACTGGCTTCAGGAAGAGGAATGTGTGGGTGCTCATGTGCATGTTCACCATGTGGTGGGAGGAAGAGAAAAGATCAGTAGTACAAGAATCACGGTAGCTGTGACTTTTACAACAGCATAGACACTACTCTGTTTTTGAAAAAAAGAAAAAACTACAAACCTACGTTCTCAAACCAGCTCAAAAACTGTCAATACCACAGAAAACATTCATCTCTAGAGAGAGCTAGAATAGCAGATGAATCTTTGCATCAGTTTTATTGTTGACTACTTAAGAAGGTCCCTAGCCAATGTGCTTGCCTTAAAGCACTCCCTGTTCAGCATAATGTTTTGGATCCTACTCAATGTAACATGACTCTTTCAATACGCCATATCTGCAGTTTAAAGCTCACAATTGTAAATTATGTTTCAAGATAGGCATCTCTGCAACAAACTTCAGTCTTACTGGCAAAAAATACTTGTCTTCACTGCTGTTTTATTTTGAAATAGCTTGCAAAAAAATTCCTCTGCATTGAGTTACTTTGGTTCTCCAGCAGAAAACACCATTTCCTGATCCTTAATAAATACATCCATAGCTTCAAGGGCACTGCAGTTCAACTTTATCTGCTAAAATTCATTCATAAATGACTTTCCTTTACTTGTAAATACAATTATTTAAGCACTATATTTGAACTTTTTTTCCCATTGAAATGCCACATTATATTTCCAAACTAATATTTTACCAGCAGCATTTATACCTCATAGGTCTAGTGATAAAATTCTCTAATCCAATTTAATTTTTTTTAAAATTAAATTAACTCTTTGGTATACTTATAGTTGGAAAACTTGCTGAAGACACATAAGAACTGGAGTCACTGATTTTTATCCTTCATTATTTAAGATTAGGAAGAAACAGAACTTCAGGCAGTCCCACATAGTGACCTGAGCACTACATTACAGCAGGCTCAAATCTACTTTCTCTCTCACAACTGGTTTGATGTTTTCTACAGCACATTTCCTATCATGATCAAAAAAGAAAGATACTTTCTCAGAGAAATTAAAATTTAACATATCCTTGACTAACATAAAAAGATTTAAAATGGGATAAAATATAAAGGGGAAAAAAGTGCAATGTGTTGCACTATAGGAAGAACAGCCATCTGTATGAAAGAAGAAAAGCTCTTCTTCACCATGTCTTAAACAATGGAAACAGGTATGTAGGACTGAGGATTGGCAGAACAATATGGGCATCAATATTTTGTTGTTGCAATAAAGGCAAACGCTTTCTTCACATTCTTTCCTACTGATTTGTTTTTTCTTAATCTTACAAGACAGTACCTAAAAGTACAAATAAAAGTAAAGTTCATTAGCTGGGTACTAGAGAAGGTTCCTTAAACACTGCTGAATGTGAGGGAACAAAATTTCATGCCCATTAAGTAATCCATCACCAGTGTTGCGTTTAATACATCTTAGTATATTGTTTCCTTTTATACAGTATTACGTCAGTGTTGTTTCATGGCTACACTACATCAAAGAGGTAATGAGCTAAAAAGGGTCATGAAAGAAACAAAAAAATTAAAAGTGGTCAGAGATCTG